TATATATACACATATATACCCACAATATGTGTGTGAGTATCTCTCCATGTTTATCTATCTCTCTTTATCGGGCGCTGTCTCTCTTTACTCTCTCTCTCTCTATCTATCTCTCTCTCTCTCTCTCTCTATCTATCTATCTATCTATCTCTCTCTCTCTCTCCTCTCCCCACTCTCTGTCTCTGTCTCTCTCTGTCTCACTCTCTCTCCTTCTCGCTTTCTCTATCTCTTTCTCTCTCTCTCGCTATCCCTCCCCCTCTCTCTCTCTCTCTCTCTCTCTCTCTCTCTCTCTCCCATGAACTAAGCGGAGTACCCACTGCTTCCAAGGATCCAGTATTTCTAAACAGAAATTTCAGAGAACGTGTGTTACCTCTAAAAAGCCTCCAGTTTCGTTTTTTTTGGAAATGTAGCAGCCAAAACTACCATCATCAGCTAGGACGTCCCTTTTAAACATGATCATGCAGAGCTAGAAATAAAGAAGAAGAAAACAAAAACTGTGGTTCGTTACGTCAATTTATTAATGGGTTGGGATTTTTTTGGGGGCCCTTCAATTATTTCTTGTTTTGTTTTTAAAGAAGGACGCCACATTCCACTACATAAACAAAGGCCAGGTATTGAGCTTCAAGTTGCATCAATCCCGGTTTGGACTCGGCACGAGGTCGAGAAAAGTTGGGAACAGAAACTACACTTTGATCTTAGCCAAAAGGATCCACAGGGTAAGAGATCAGGGAGGAAAACCGCGTGGAACCTGGAGAAGAATCACAGAAATCGATGTACAGAAAAGTGGGAAGACATGGAATAACACCAAGAGGCTAGCCCAGGATAGAGAAAGGTAGAAGGTGTTTGTTCGTGGCCTATACCCTGGTGCAGGGTGAGAAAGGCAATGGTGAAAAGGACTAAAAAAGATATGACGTCACTTTAGTTAATTAATCAGGTAAATGACTAAAGGGGCCAGAAAAAGAAACGAAGTGTGATGACTTCACTCTCTGAGGGTCGGTGAGTCGGCGCCCGCAACTGCATAAAGCTGCATGAGGTCATATGAGTGCGCGGGACACATTAAACTTCATAACCTGAAACACTGCACATTTTGTTGAAACTACGAAACACATATTAATAAGCACCATACACAGTAACGGAAAAAGGGGAAGAATCAACTCGTACACTCACGCACATACCCACAAACAAACAGTCGCCCCATTATCTCATATACAAGTACAAACACACATACACACACAACAACACACATACACAAACACACACATAAAACTCACATACACATACATACCCCCCCTCCTAAACACACACACACACACACACACACAAACACAAACACACAATCACAAACACACACACACACAAACACAAACACACGCACGCACACACACACACACCAATAATAATACAGCAAAC